TGGCCTCCTTTGGAGTAGGCTGTTCACTCCTGCTCTCCTTTGGGAATCATGCCAGCATAAGAAGTGATTCCTAAAATATGACCTAGAAGGTTTTTAAGTCAGAGTGAGCATGGACATGGACTCACCTCACATTGTTTTTGAAGTAAAACTGAATAATCCCTGGAGGAGGGACCTCAGGAGGTCTCTAGACCTACCTAATGCTCAGAGCAGTGTGAGCTGTGGGGTCAGAGCAGGTTGCTCAGGTGTTTATCCGATTGGGCCTTGAAACCTTCCAAGGGTGGAGACTGCACAACCTCTCTGGGCAACCTGCTCCACTGCCCGCCTGCCCTGATGGTGAAGTACTGCAGTATGGTGGTCTTGGTTGTTGGAGGGTTATCAAATGCCTGCAGAAATAAAAGTTAGGAGCTGAGCAAGGGTATGACAGTCAGATTGACCCATCACCTGGTGTAGGAGGAAGGCAATAAGCAATTACTGATGTCTGCTACTGCTCTTTTATTGATTCCAGGTGTACAATGTTCACTATACCATGAGCATTAATGGAAAAGTACAAGATGGATCGATGGAAATAGATGCTGCAAACAACTTAGAGACATTCAAAACGGGAAGTGGGAGCGAAGAGGCTGTTGAAGTTCATGATTTTCAGATTGTAAGTACCTCCACCCTTGTCTTTTATGTAACATGCTCCAGCACTGGACTCTTAGGATACCCTGCCTGGCCCTAACTTCTCTGCCCCAGTGTGTCTCAGGTTCCAGCCCCCAGCAATCCACACAAGTGTCCACGCTCTCCCAGCTTGTTTTCACAGCAAGAGAGAGGCAGTTTCCTTCAAAACAGTCTAAGTGCCTTTTGGGGATAGGCCATGCCAGGTCCCACTCTGGAAAACAGTGTGGATTAGGCTGCATCAGGTTTGGCTCCACATAACACTTTGCATTTTCAAACCATTGAATAGATGCTACAACATGTGCCCTTAGGGTCTTGCTAGAAAAGGTTCTTTCAGCCTGTGACACAGCCCCTGCATGATTTCATAGGATTTGGACTGGATAAAACACCTCCCCAAAACATCACTGTTTTAGGAGCGTAGGTCAACACAGCAAGCCAAGGAGAGACCACCATACAGCACTGGACCCAGGCAGCTTGCTCAGCCCTGAGATCAAGGATGGGAGCTGCTCTCCATGGCTTGGCCTGGGTTCATCCCCAGGGGAGAGGATGGAGGCATTTAGCAGAGCTTATGAATTCATGCACCAAATGCATGGTGCTGGGCCACTTGGGCTGACAGCAAACACGTTTGGGTAGCCCAGCAACTTGGCTGTGGCTGCTCAGCACAGAGCTTGGACTAAGAAATGCCAAATCTCAGAAGAGCTCAACAGCTTGGGTAGAGTGTTTCACTGAGCTGCACCACCACTGAGCTACTAAAGACACATCTACGTGATGTTGCAGAAACCTATTTACAGGGCCCAGATCCTGCAATTAACGTTCACAGGTGCAAAACACTCAACTTCAGACCCAAGTCCTCTGTAAGTTAAAGCAGCAACTAAAAGAAAGGTGCTGCTGCCAGGAAGAGTTGCTCAGGGCTTCTGGAGCAGCCACCTTCCCCTTGCAGAATCTAGAAAGACGAGGAAATTCACCTCCTTGGCTTCTCAGCAAGTACAAACAAATCCACTCCAGGAGACCCAGGACTCCAACTTTCCTGACAGCTGTGGCTCAGCCTTTATGAAACTCTCATTAACATCACCATAGCAACATCATTAGCAGCTGAATAAGAGCACCCACAACAGCTCTTCTCATTTGCCTTCACCATTCCACATCTGCACAAAAGCACCAGCCCACTAGAAAGATGCAAAATTCACATTGCCTCCATGCATGCTGCTGGTGGGGTCAGAAATCAGCCCCCAACACCAACCATCTGAAGGCACCTTCCAGGGATGGTGCCTACTTGTAATGACAGAGGGCCAGGGACAGGCTCAGCAAGAGCAAAGAGATGAAGCTAGTTGGGTTTTGAGCCAAGAATACACAGAAAGGAGAAAGAAATTGAAGAGATGCACTTCCAAAGGCCAAGTATTTACATTAGCAGCTTTGGATTGACTGTCACCGCTCGAATGATTGCGTGGTTGGTGAACACCTGGACTTGGCAATATTGGAATGCTCCTAGCAGGCTCAGTGCACCACAAAGTCTCATTCCCTTGTGCACCCATCCCTGCACAGCCATCCCCCCTCTCACTGTTTTAGAATTAGTCATTTTGTTTTGATGGATGCATGTCCAACTGTACAGGACTTGCAGGCACACAGGAGGAGACTCGGGCGCCTCAGTACTGTCCGTCTCAAGCCACACTAGATGCCTGTGGTATCCATGATGCTGGCAGGAGGGGTCATGAGGACACCCACAGCCTGGCAGCTCGAGGCTAGGCAGAAAACCAGCAAATCTCGAATAGCACTAGATCTTTATGTTTAGGTGGTCAAATGGAGCTCACGCAACCCTATGAAAACCATGTGAATTTTGCAGTCTACAACAAGGTATCTAAATTCATCACGTAAAAGATCTCTTTTATGGGTACTCAAAAACCTACAGCAGAAACACAGAAATTAGAGGTTCCCCTGCCCAAATGTTGGTGCTCAAGGAGCTGGCAGATACAACCCTGGACTTGCAGGAGACCTTCAGCCCCCTGGAGATGCTGGGATACCCTTCTCTTGCTTACAACTAGACATCCATGCTTGAGGCAACTGCATTTCACCCTCATAGGCCAGATGAAGGAAGTCCCACATACATATTTCTGCACCAAACTCCCTGTCACGAGCTTCCCCTTGCTGTCACAGCCACTTACATGTATAAATTGGACCAAGCTGCCCCCATATTTTTGGGCATGTATGTCATAAGGGTACTGCTCCACCAGCAAACACAATTTTGAGGCTGCCTACGTTAAGTGCTAAGTTACAGTTCAAATTGTGTCAATTCACTCCTTACCAGAGCTGCTGCAAGTAGTCTCCAGCAGGCATGGGAGCACTTACATAAAACACCCCCATCTTTCAGAAATCGAGTGAAAACTTCTAGACCCATTTGATCAAAATCATAAAGCTAAAATGATGAGGGAAGAGTGTTTTATTGCATCTGGTTTTAAATAAGATTTAACCTTCAGACTAAGAATTCCATGGCAATTTTAGCAGAGCTCGAGTACTTTCCTGGGGGTGGTGGGGAGCTGGAGGGCTGCACACAACCCCCTGCCTTCTGCTTTTGCAGGGCATAACTGGAATCCGTTTTGCTGAAGGAGAAAAGTGTTACATCAAAGCTCAGCCAAAAGCTCACGTCCCTGAAGTTGATGCTATGACTAAAGCGAGCCTCTCGTCTGAGCTGGTAAGGGGTAATTTTTTAATTATTTTTTTTTTTTAATAAATCTTTCTACAGAGCAGGTCTTAAAGCAATATTTAAATACAAATAAAAATGACATTTGAAGGCCACTGTGGATAGTGGTAGGGATTCCTGACAGGTAAGAAAAGCAAAGATTGGTGTCAGAGGTGTCACTGTGTCCAAGGGCATCGTGAGAGGCTGCAGACTGGGGAGCAGTGGAAGCTTTAGACCAATTTCTACCAGATCCACATGAGACCTCAGTGACAACAGCATCTGCCTAAGATCAGACTGTGCACAGGCTGGAAAGGAGAACATGGAAGAAGCAGCTGCTTTAGTCAATGCAAAGAGCAATTGTGGTAGATCCCAGGAGATTTCTATCAACACTCTTGAGCAGAAGCAAAGACTCCATCACTCAGGTCCTCTGAAGTAGTCAATAAACAGGCTGTGCTCCCAAGAAAAAAGCAGATGCAATTAGCTGGGAGAGAGGCACTGTTAAGGTTGCACCTACCTGCAACGCTGCTGTGATTACTGAACATCTACTTTAAAATGAAGGGAAAAAAGGTCCCTAAATCCAAACAGCAAGGCACCAGCGATGTTACAAAGTCTCCTGAAGTTGGAGGGATTTTCCCCATAATGGGGAAGGGATCTTGCACAAATGCCAGGCAGAGACCTACATCTTTGCCACCTTGCCTTATTTTAAAGGCAGGCTGGGTTTCTTGACTTCACGAGTACTGCTGCTTGAAGTCAAGGTTTCCATTCTTCATCTTTTTGTAAGAATAAAGTCACAGTCCTGAAGACATTATCCTACAATAGTCAAAAAGTTATTTATAATCTTCTAGCTGGCTACAGTAAACCTGTTTCCTTGTCTTCCTTTCTGTGCATCTTCTCCAAAGATGCATCACCTACGCAACTGCTGCAATAAATTGTGTGCAGCAAGGCCAAAACAAGCAGCTGACTTAGTGCTGCCATTGGGATATTGACCTTTCCCTGTTGCTTGGCTTTCCAGGTTAGATGTACAACAGGAATGGCAAAGTAGTATTTCTTTTTCTAGAGCAAGTCCTCTCTCTGCTACGTGTGTATTTGGGAGAAATTTCGCATATGCTGTTTTATTACAATACTCATCGTAACCAACGCTGCCTATAAAAACGTTGATTAAAATAAGCTTTTATAGATACTCAAACCTGCCAGCTCACAAGTCAGGATCATCTCAAACAGAAACAAAGGATATTTTTATTTTTGAAAACTAGATTCAGATATTTCTGATGCTGATAAAAGCTTAAGTGGGAGAATATAAATAAAGAGCACTTCTCACTAGACAGATTGGATAGCGAACTTAAATGACTTGAGACCTACAAAAGAAATCAATAAACACATTAAAGGAACAACAACTCAATAGAATAAATTGAACCAGTCAGTTATATAACAAGTTTTGATGACTTTTATGGAAGCAATTTAGAATTTTAACTTTGAAATCAGACTGGGTTTCATGATTCACAAGTTGGTTCTCTTTTAATATTTCACTGTTGCTATAAAATACTTACACATTTTATGTAAAATAATACTTTGAACTAACAACTTTAAAGAATCAATCACTGGCATTTTCCTACATTACTTTGAAGATATGAACCAAAAACCTGCGGGGTACACTTCAAAAAGGCAGGTTCCTTTAACTCACACTTCCAGCTTCTGGTCAATTGAATTGCTTTTACCAAACGAGACCTTTAATCAGACTGATCACGTTGACTTAAAACTGGAAGCTGGAGCAGTTCTCAAGCTGTAATCCTCTCTAAAACTTCTGAACAAGAATTTCCTCCCCCCACATTGTAAATACAGTTATATCTTGGGAGTACATCAAGTGAGAACAGGGCATGATAAAAGATTAGGGTCTTGTTTTTACCTGGTATTCTTTCATTGCTGCTTTGCTGAAGGTGGTAAATCTTCACAGTTTCTACCACCTGAAAATCTGCTGCTTTGGGCTGAAAGATTTCTGACACATAGTCCTTGTATATGGGGCAGAAGCTTTCCAAGAGAGAGACAGGTGAAATCTTAGCCCCAGCAAAGCTGTCAGTAGTTTTGCCATTCATTTTGGTGGTGGCAATCTTTACTCAGGCTTTGGCTCAGTACAAATGCTTCACATCCATGAAATACGAGGATGCTGGGTATTAGCTGCAGTGGATGATTATACAGTTTGCTGAAGAATTAACAGCAAGCAGGCACACGACTGTTCACTGAGCAGCAAAAGATTTATGCTCTTCTATTTGCAGGAAGATGAAATCATGCCTGTGAGATTTGATGAAAACTCCCTTATCTGGGTGGCTGCAGACGAGCCTATCAAGCATAAGAGTTTCCTAAGCCCCAAAATTTTAGAGCTTTGTGGGGATCTTCCAATTTTCTGGCTGCGACCAACATATCCCAAAGGTAACACTTGTTTTATTTGAACAGCATGTTATCTCTCCCTTCATCTAAATGCCTTCCCCAAATCAGGTTTGCCCCCGAGACTTGCACACCTGGGAAACCAGGATCCTTTCCTCCCTTGCCCAGCCTGTCTTCCCAAGCCCTCATGGGTTGGTGCTGATATTGCAGGTTTGGAGTTTATCCACACTTCCTAGACGTGGTCCATACTTGTATTTCCTCAGACAATTTATATAGCCCACGTGGGTGATTTACTGTGAGAGATGATACGTTCCCAGAAAGGTGAGCCTTCTTCTACAGAAGGACAAGACAACAGCTTAAACTATCCCCCAAAATGTTTATGCAGTTGACACCAGGTAGCAGGAACACTAGCTACAGCTGGTCCTGTTTCCTATCCCGCTTCTCCAGAGGATTTCAGTGGAGGGAAAGGATGAGATGCTTTATCAAAGCAACTGGTGGATGAAGTTTCTGAAGTCCTGGGGGCAGTTCCCAGGACCGAAGTACTCTCATCACCCAGAGCCAAGCTTAGCAAAATTGTTCAGGAGTCACCAGGGAAATGGGAACTTCTCCAGATGACTTCCAGGCCTGGGAGGAGAGGAAAGGCTTTAAAAGGTTTACTCCTCCTTGGTCCAGCAAATGTTAGAACACTGAAGGTGGGGGAAGGGGAGAAAATAAAAAAGCACCTGTGGATCCAAATTGCCAGTATTTTCCACTTTTCTCATGACCTTGCATATCCCACTGGGCAAAAGAACAAAGCTGTGGGGAAGCCACTTCCACCAGGTTCACCAAACGCCCTTGGGAGCAGGGCACCAGCCTGTCACACAAGCACTTTAAAAAAAATTGGAATGTCTATGGCTGGTCTTGCTAGTGCTGGCAGCTGCTGCTGAGTTAGCATCAGTGATCACAGGGTGGGTCCAAAAAATCCAACAAATCTCCTTACACCCATTTTGCCTCAAGGGGAGGAAGAGGCGGGGGGGTGTGTATACATATATATCTCTATACATTATATATATATAGTCCCACACCCCTTTGGCTGTAGATACAACACAGGAAGGCAAGCAGCAACCATGGCGGTGCTCATCAAGTTTGCCATCACAGTTTTGTCTTCCCCTCTGTCCCCCACCCTCCCCTTTTTTAATATTTAAAGAAATCACTGAAACCTTAGATAATGTGTGGATAAATACAAGGACACACTGAAGATAAGATTATCCTCTTGTGATTATTTCCTCAGATAATCCAAGGAGAGAAATAAAGAGAACCAAACGCCAATCAGAATCAAACTTTGATACAGAAGACTTGGAAGCTGCTACTGAAGAAGTAAATACCAGGTCACCCACCACGCAGCTGACTCAAGAGCTTGATCACCAGTCTAATGAAACCAGGCCAATGGAACAAGAAACCGATCAAACATTTAATCCAGACAATCCATATAATGTAAGTATTTGCACTGTAATCTTCTTTCAGAGCCCGAGACTGTTGTCAACAGGTAGTACTTGTGATGTGGAGTTGGTTTCTTGGGTTTGTTTTGGTTTGGTTTTTAATCTGCGCAGTCTTTGCCTGTTCAGCTTTTCTCTGAAATTAAGACTCTGAAATGAAAAACATCTAAGCAGCTCAAAAAAGTATTCCCTCAGTCTTCTTTCTCCCTCCCTTATCCCAGTTTTCATTAGACCTCAGCCTGAAACAAGCACAAGTGCTTGAGGCGGTAAGATTAAGGCAAGTTGATGCCAAGTTGCTTTTCAGGGTTTCCAGGTCCATACTGAAGCAGCACTAGAGAGATCTGACAAGGATAGCATCCTCTGAAAACAAACCAAAGCTGGTCTTGATCAGACAGCTGACCCCTATCATTTACAGACAATGTAAAAACAGAGTCCAGGAGTGAGAAATAGACTTTGCCCTCAAACAGAAATTGGTATCAGAAGTGACTACTACAGAGGAAAGCAATAGTAGTGTCTGGTTGCAAAGAGATTTGGGTTAGGCCAAATATATCTGTTTTCTCAGCCTCTTCTCTGTCAGTGTCAACGGCCCTAGTCTAGCAAACAACTACAGAGGAGAACCTGTTTTGAGACAGCAACAGTGGGTGGAGGATGACTATTGCAAGACTTGTTCTGGCTCTTTGAGTCGGAGCAGCCCACAGAAAGCGCGCAGGAGCCGCCCCGCTGTGTCCCAACACCTTTGCCGCGCTGCAGGAAGACTGACTGTACAGCAGGCACCTTCCAGTCTGCTGCACCAGCGCCAGACAATTTACACCCACCGTTTGGTGCAGCAGGAGTAAGTCATTTTAATACAACACTGTCGCAAGATAAATGCCTCCTGCTTTGGAAATAAGTCCCAGCTTTGACTTGACATTTATGCAACAGCAGGAGATCATTATAGTGTGACAGCGTTCTGCCGAGTTGACATCCCTTAATTAAACTTAAATTAATCACTCCAAATAAAGTGGATCTAAATCGACTCTCTCACGAGGTCAGTACAACAGCAGCAGCACTGAAACGTAACTTCTCACATCTCCTGATGTGACCAGGTCCATGGGGTCTGAGCTGCCCTGTCTCTGGAGGGCAGAGGCAAAACAGCTGCCATGGGTCCATTCTTCCAGCCATAGGGTCCTTGGGCCAAATGGAGAACGTCCAGTCAGATATGGTCACCAGACTTCCCTGAGCCTGCAGGGCAGGACCCACCTTCACTAGCAGTTACTGCATAGATGCCTACACCCAAGCTTTCTTTAGAGACCGATTCATTCAGTTCAAAAGGACCATTAATTATACTGTAGATCTTTCCTGTAGGGTGAAATCAATCCTCCCTAGAGCTGTTTCTCTTCACCCACTATGAGCAGAGTCTGGTTGATGAGCTCAGGTGTAGAAGTTCATGCTGCAGGTATCTGAATTCAGGGATGATGAATCCTGCCCAATAAAACGACACCCTCCTCGCTCTCAGGGCTGGGAACGGGTCACTGGGGGCCCAGATGACACCAAGCTGTCACTGGCGTCCTGTACAAGCCCAGAGAAGAGACAGCACCTTTCTGTGCCTCACCTTTTCAGTGTGCCGCCACTTTTCTGAATGAAAAATGCTCAGGTAAAAAGCTAAGTGTTACTCCAGCATTTGCTCTTTGCTGCTGCGTTTCTTGAAATAACACCAATGGAAAAGGAACACGTGAGTTTCAAAAAGCAGAATATCCAGGTTACTTTCTCCCCAGAAAGCAGGAAAGGAATTTTCAGCAAGAGCCTGCTTTTACATATTTTATGCATGCCTTGCTCCACGAAACTCTTTACTGTCAGATACAGAACAGGCAGAATTCTCACTGTCCACAAAGCACCTAAGTGTGGCAGAGGGAAAAAAAGGCAGACTGAAAGACAGGGAAGAAATATTCAGCGTACACTTCAGACACTGTCATTTACATAAAAGACCCAGATCACTGTCTTGAAATCTTTTCCATCACTAATCTTTAAAACTTGGAGAGTCTACTGCTGCTGGATCTTTTACAAGGACTATAGAAGAAAAGTAATGATGTTAGAGCTCTCTGGAACAGGTTGCCCAGAGAAGCTGTGGATGCCCCCTCCCTGGAAGTGTTTAAGGCCAGGCTGGATGAGGCTTTGAGCAACCTGGTCTAGTGGAAGGTGTCCCTGCTCACGGCAGGGGGATTGGAACTAGATGATATTTAAGGTCCCTTCCAATCCTAACCATTCTATGATTCTATGTTGTTTCTTTCCATTTTACATGGGTCATTGCACCAATTCTGTATTTCTACCAAATGGAGCAAGACAAAAGAACAAAAAAAAAATAAAGGAAGATGCATGGGTCAGTTAGTGGGGGTTCTGTTAACTTCAACAGGACCAGGATTTCAGTTTTTACCCTTCTTAGGGTTGACAGAAGCATTGGTATATTCTACATTCTCTGAGAAGGAGAGCACCGGGATGACACTCAGTATTGTGTATTTCAGCAGCTGGAAGGTGAAGGGATGGCTTTTGACCCCATGCTGGATCACCTAGGTGTGTGCTGCATTGAATGCAGGCGAAGTTACACGCAGTGCCAGAGGATTTGCGAACCTCTCCTGGGCTACTACCCATGGCCTTACAACTACCAAGGCTGCCGCACTGCCTGCCGAATCATCATGCCCTGCAGCTGGTGGGTTGCTCGTATCATGGGTGTTGTGTGAGAAAAACCAGTCAGAGCCTTGACAAAATAAGCAGG